GTGACAGCCGGAGAATGTATACCTCAAACTCTGTCCCGTATCTCAAGCCTCGGTAGCGCAGTAGGTAGCGCGTCAGTCTCATAATCAGTCAAGCTTCCAATGTCAGAGCAATCTGAAGGTCGTGAGTTCGATCCTCACCCGGGGCATTTCTTTTTGTCTGTTTTTCCTTAATTATCATCACCATATATATGTTCAAAACATTTACAGTGACATGCTCTACTGCTGCGCCCGCCTCAATGAAATTTCTGACCGAAAATATATGACGAGTGCAAAGACGGAATGGCTGTAGAGCCATGCCACACGGTGTGCTTACAACTGGGTGCTTTGACAAAATGTATGTTTCACTTCCTTTTCAAGTACAGTCGTCATTAGATCTATCAAGGTTATGTTATGAACTTGTGTTTCGAGGCACACACATTGTACCTTCCATAACCAAGTCGAATCCAACTTATGCTGTTTTTATTGCACAGTCTCCACATGTGTGTGACTTGTGACAGCCGGAGAATGTATACCTCAAACTCTGTCCCGTATCTCAAGCCTCGGTAGCGCAGTAGGTAGCGCGTCAGTCTCATAATCAGTCAAGCTTCCAATGTCAGAGCAATCTGAAGGTCGTGAGTTCGATCCTCACCCGGGCATTTCTTTTTGTCTGTTTTTCCTTAATTATCATCACCATATATATGTTCAAAACATTTACAGTGACATGCTCTACTGCTGCGCCCGCCTCAATGAAATTTCTGACCGAAAATATATGACGAGTGCAAAGACGGAATGGCTGTAGAGCCATGCCACACGGTGTGCTTACAACTGGGTGCTTTGACAAAAATGTATGTTTCACTTCCTTTTTCAAGTACAGTCGTCATTAGATCTATCAAGGTTATGTTATGAACTTGTGTTTCGAGGCACACACATTGTACCTTCCATAACCAAGTCGAATCCAACTTATGCTGTTTTTTATTGCACAGTCTCCACATGTGTGTGACTTGTGACAGCCGGAGAATGTATACCTCAAACTCTGTCCCGTATCTCAAGCCTCGGTAGCGCAGTAGGTAGCGCGTCAGTCTCATAATCAGTCAAGCTTCCAATGTCAGAGCAATCTGAAGGTCGTGAGTTCGATCCTCACCCGGGGCATTTCTTTTTTTGTCTGTTTTTCCTTAATTATCATCACCATATATATGTTCAAAACATTTACAGTGACATGCTCTACTGCTGCGCCCGCCTCAATGAAATTTCTGACCGAAAATATATGACGAGTGCAAAGACGGAATGGCTGTAGAGCCATGCCACACGGTGTGCTTACAACTGGGTGCTTTGACAAAATGTATGTTTCACTTCCTTTTCAAGTACAGTCGTCATTAGATCTATCAAGGTTATGTTATGAACTTGTGTTTCGAGGCACACACATTGTACCTTCCATAACCAAGTCGAATCCAACTTATGCTGTTTTTCATTGCACAGTCTCCACATGTGTGTGACTTGTGACAGCCGGAGAATGTATACCTCAAACTCTGTCCCGTATCTCAAGCCTCGGTAGCGCAGTAGGTAGCGCGTCAGTCTCATAATCAGTCAAGCTTCCAATGTCAGAGCAATCTGAAGGTCGTGAGTTCGATCCTCACCCGGGGCATTTCTTTTTTGTCTGTTTTTCCTTAATTATCATCACCATATATATGTTCAAAACATTTACAGTGACATGCTCTACTGCTGCGCCCGCCTCAATGAAATTTCTGACCGAAAATATATGACGAGTGCAAAGACGGAATGGCTGTAGAGCCATGCCACACGGTGTGCTTACAACTGGGTGCTTTGACAAAAATGTATGTTTCACTTCCTTTTCCAAGTACAGTCGTCATTAGATCTATCAAGGTTATGTTATGAACTTGTGTTTCGAGGCACACACATTGTACCTTCCATAACCAAGTCGAATCCAACTTATGCTGTTTTTATTGCACAGTCTCCACATGTGTGTGACTTGTGACAGCCGGAGAATGTATACCTCAAACTCTGTCCCGTATCTCAAGCCTCGGTAGCGCAGTAGGTAGCGCGTCAGTCTCATAATCAGTCAAGCTTCCAATGTCAGAGCAATCTGAAGGTCGTGAGTTCGATCCTCACCCGGGGCATTTCTTTTTTTGTCTGTTTTTCCTTAATTATCATCACCATATATATGTTCAAAACCATTTACAGTGACATGCTCTACTGCTGCGCCCGCCTCAATGAAATTTCTGACCGAAAATATATGACAAGTGCAAAGACGGAATGGCTGTAGAGCCATGCCACACGGTGTGCTTACAACTGGGTGCTTTGACAAAAAATGTATGTTTCACTTCCTTTTCAAGTACAGTCGTCATTAGATCTATCAGAGGTTATGTTATGAACTTGTGTTTCGAGAGATCACGACATAAAACCATTGTACCTTCCATAACCAAGTCCGAATCCCAACTTATGCTGCTTTTATTGCACAGTCTCCACATGTGTGTGACTTGTGACAGCGATGTGACTTGTGACAGCCGGAGAATGTATACCTCAAACTCTGTCTCGGTAGCGCAGTAGGTAGCGCGTCAGTCTCATAATCAGTCAAGCTTCCAATGTCAGAGCAATCTGAAGGTCGTGAGTTCGATCCTCACCCGGGGCATTTCTTTTTTTGTCTGTTTTTCCTTAATTATCATCACCATATATATGTTCAAAACATTTACAGTGACATGCTCTACTGCTGCGCCCGCCTCAATGAAATTTCTGACCGAAAATATATGACGAGTGCAAAGACGGAATGGCTGTAGAGCCATGCCACACGGTGTGCTTACAACTGGGTGCTTTGACAAAAATGTATGTTTCACTTCCTTTTTCAAGTACAGTCGTCACACACATTGTACCTTCCATAACCAAGTCGAATCCAACTTATTCGTTGTTTTTACATTAATTTTCGACTCGGTGTGCGCATGCGTAGAGTATGTAAAAATATCCACTGGTCAACTTCCGCTTTGGTCGTATTACTGATAATGGAAACACACCACAAATAAAAGCTGTCTAAAGATTATTTACGTGTGACAACTGTTCATAGTTGAGTACATACATCCATTTGCCTATGCTTTTTAATAATTGATGTCCTATTTTGGTGGCAATTGCATCAGATATGTGTTTTTTAAGTTTTGAGAAGGAGATGTGTAGGAAGGACGGTGGACGGGTGGTTGTGAGATGTGTTTATAATAAGCTTGTTAACAAACGTTAAGCTATTTATTTAACTATTCCTGGTCCCTTCCATTCATAAATGATTTGAGATCAGTTAAATTCGACATAAAACCATATATTTGTTTTGATTTTTGCTTTCTTTAGAGTGTATTTATACTATCGGTAAAGCATACGACCAAAGCGGAAGTTGTCCGTGGATATTTTTACACGCTCTGCGCATGCCCACAGCGAGTCGAAAATGAATGTGAAACCAACGAATGGTGCTTTTTATTGCACAGTCTCAACATGTGTGTGACTTGTGACAGCGTGTGACTTGTGACAGCCGGAGAATGTATACCTCAAACTCTGTCTCGGTAGCGCAGTAGGTAGCGCGTCAGTCTCATAATCAGTCAAGCTTCCAATGTCAGAGCAATCTGAAGGTCGTGAGTTCGATCCTCACTCGGGGCATTTCTTTTTTTGTCTGTTTTTACTTAATTATCATCACCATATATATGTTCAAAACATTTACAGTGACAGTGCCCTACTGCTGCGCCCGCCTCAATGAAATTTCTGACCGAAAATATATGACAAGTGCAAAGACGGAATGGCTGTAGAGCCATGCCACACGGTGTGCTTACATTGAGTTTACAACTTATGGTGTTTTTTATTGCAGTCTCCACTTGTCAGGCGTGCGACACAACGTGTGACACGTTGAAATATTCCTTCCGAAAAGCACATTATAAATATAAACAAAGCAATCTTTATTATTTCAACCGCATCAGGTTTTTCGTTGACCATTCTGGTGTGACTTCAGTGACGATAGAAGTTATTTTTCTGTATTTTCGTTTTTTTGAATGAATCCTGACCAAATATGTCGTACATATATTGTAGAGAATTAGTTAATACCGACTCGAGGTTCTTTTAATTTAAAATACAGATAACACGTTCGTGCACTTGATTGAAGGAAATGGTAGTTTGGAGATCAGCCCTAAAGTACGAGACAAGTACCGAATTCCGGATTAAGACCAGTGTTAAGTCTCAATTAAGGGGCATAGTTATGCCCATAAAAACACACGAGGCAAACATAGATAAAATTTACTTGACGCAATTTTATACGCCAAACGTAAAACATATAAAAGATCGATGTCATCGTAAGTGGTGTCAATAAATACAGGAAAGCAATATTTAGTCACACTAAGTTAATGGCATCATCGTGGTAGGCGGATACATTGATATTTGGAGTATATTACTGGAGAATGTTTCCACTGGCGATTTGAAGAGGGAAGAGTGAGAGAGTGCAGTGGCGGATACAGCTTTCTGAGAACGGGGTGGGGGATGGCGGGTGCACAGTTCATTTTCACCCGTTTTCAAACACACATACACAGACAGACACACATACACAGACAGACCCACACACAGCTGGATCCGCCTATTGCGTGAGTATGGCTGTACGCCGCTTTTACCAATATTCCAGCAATATCACGTCGGGGAACAAAACATATGGGCTTTACACATTACATTGATGTGGGCAACCCGGCTTTGCGGAGTGTCGTTAACCAATTAACCACTAGGCTACACCAAAGGCCTGAAAGGGGAAGAAGTGTGCACATGTGCTTATAAGTGGTTGTGCAAGCGTCAACGTTTCATTCCGATTTGAATTTCCTCCGAGGTTACGGCATAATGATTTATAATAATAAAGTTTACAGACCACTGATCATTATAACTGGATTAATTACCATCAGGGGCCCGTTTCACAAAACTCTCGTAAGCTTAAGATCTCGTAGCTTTTCTCGTAGCATTCGTACCTCCTATACTGTAACATAGGAGGTACGAATGCACTGGTCAATCAGAATAGAGTTATCTCAGATGGAATGCCATGCTAATTATTTCAGATACGTGGAATTATAATCAACACCAACATCACATCGCCCTAATCACCGTCTGGTTTTGAAAAGTCACTTGAAGCTATCTTCAAATACAGTGATACTCTTGGGATTGAAGTCGTACGTTGGAATATCCATATTTGACAACAGTTTGTCCAGAACATTGGCTAGAAGTGGGTTGACAACCACCATTAGTACTATCACTGTGTTCTTATCTGTGACGGTTTTGATGTACTCAATATGGCTTAAGACGTGTTCTCGAAGCAGCGTGCAATCAGTTCCGAAAACGTCTAAGCAATATCTGAGTCCTAACTGGCAAGGCACTGGCGTCCCGATGGTGAGAAGTGACACTCTGGAGGTATTGTTCCTGGACGCTAGAGGTTTGACACCAGAGGTCAGGATGTACCTCATGTTTGAAGCCAGAAGGCGTACAGGAACCCAGTCTATGATCACGCGTCCACCAGGGAATAAACCTTCACATGTATTTTTGTCATCAAACAAAGACGTAATTTCCGCTGAGCTAAACGTCTCAAGAATTGTATCCAGGGGCTGCTGAGGGACTTTCAATCGTTCCATTTTCAAATGATAATTCAGGACCGACTGAAAACAAAAGAAATGATAAAACAAGGCATTGATCAAACTATACTGGACTGTATTTTGTAAATGTATACATATGGGATAGGAATATATACATGAAATGGTCAGATTTGTGTAGTCCAGCAAATTCAAACGTGGGCTATGCGTGAATAAAAGCGACGCATTTTCTATAGAATTATAATCTGCTGAGAGCAAAATGTATAGGTATCACAACTGACTGTAACTGCCTTCCATTCCTTTCAGTCCCGGGGCTGCATCTAAACCAAGTTGTCGCCTTTGTAAAAACAGGATCTGCTGTCCGAACGTTTAAGACTACTGCTGATTTATGTTTTGATAGTGAAACTGCTTCCCGTTATGACTGCTTAAGCCACTTTAAACACTTAACGACCAAACTTTTCATTTATTTTATACAGCAAGAATTTATTGTTTTCGTTTCTAGGTGACAACTCCTTACACCACTGAGACAGAATGGGAAAATTTACAACGTTAGCAAACAACATGGATTTTGTTACCTTTTGAACGAGCTGTGTGTGGGTGCTTTGAAGATGTAGTTTCTTGGATTCGTAAGTGACACCATGGGTAACCATGGCTTCATATTTGATAGATTCTATGTTCTTGTGATCTTCACACGCGTAATGCAGTAGTTTTCCATACAAGCCCTTCCCACGGAACCCGCTCTTGATCCTGCTTGCTCGCACGAAGAACGTGATGCCATCGTCAAGCAGGATAATGCTGGTGAACCCAACCTTTGGAAAAAGAAGAATCAGAAAACGGTATATCATTTACCAGTAAATGTTAAATAACATGTTTGGAAAGTAAAATAAGAAAACGTTGGGGCTAAAGAAAGTACACATACCTGTTTCAACGTGACTTAAATGACAAATACCCGAAGAAATATTTATTTTATGGTGACTGTATTTGATCAGAGTGTTTTGGAATTTACGACAATTGTGTTTCAGTCACTGTTTTCCAGCTAATGTTCTTAAAACGTCTCGAATTGCGTTGTCAAATCTAATGTGCATTGCATATTTCTTTGAGTTGAAGGGTGATATAATATTTCAATTATTTTGCGATTGGCTTATTCTTACGAAAACATTGAATTCCAGAGAATCAGATACCAAAGGTCGTAAAAACAAAGAACTTGGTCATCACCCAATACTTCTTCTGTAACGTTCACCATAGCGAAGACTGCGTTTTAATATACACATGGTATACACATGGTATACACCGGTAATTATATCATTCTAAAAACAACAACCTTCAGAATCCCTATCCTGTATTTAGTAGTCAATGAGATGCCAACCATGTATGGATATGCTTTGAAATTCCTATTCTAAAAGTTTTATTTCTGTCTGAATTTCCCATTCTCTTAATCGTGTTCTGTTCTTTCCTTCTTTTGGTAACACTTGTCCTCTCTCCTTCCACCTCTGAAGTCCCAATTTAAAGCCTTTGAAGTTCGGATTTTTTCAATCATACAGAATGTTTCTCTGTAAGTGGCGCACAATTCGCCATCACTTGAATAACATTGTGATCTTCATTGTAACTGAAATGTACCATACATTTAAAAGCACTAATTATAATATCACACATCACAGTACATTACTGTCACTTAAGTATATTTCGATTTCAAATATCAACCCGACCAAACATAAAATAGATTTAGATTTCGGACGAGCCCCACTTTTTCCTGTTGTGAGCAAATCCAGATATCTATTATATCAGCTCATGTAAAATGTTTTTCAAATTTCATTTCAAAATGTGACTTTTGTGTGCATTTTTGTGTTAGTTCTGGTGTGTAGTATATTTAACTATCTGGACAGAGACAATAGCGGCCTTTGTGAAATGGTGATTAACCCAAGCTTCAGTATGCGACCTGATTCCATTGTTACACACACCAGGGACAAGTTGCTGGAGATAGGACACTTTAACAATAGATCTGTTACATCGGTGTCATCAAGCAAGTCATGGACTTACTCAACAGTCAATCACAGAAGAAGCACTTGGAGGAGGAAACACAATAGAAGAGGGAGCAGATCTGACAGGAGAAAACAAAGACCAATCAGTGTCAGCACACAGTGTGCTGACCAACCAACTCCAAACAAATCTAAACAATTAAACATGTGTTTACTAAATGTTCAATCTGCTGGATATAAGTGTGAAGATATTGCTGAGCTGATTGTTGATTCCAACGTGGATGTATTTGTGTTAACTGAAACGTGGCTGAAACACTCTGGTGATGAATCGAAAATAGCATCAATGACGCTCCCTTGATACAAATGTTCACATTTGCCACGTGAGACCAGAGGTGGGGGGCTTGCTGTTATATTTAGATCAACACTGAAAATATAACTAAAACCTACAGATTTAAACACACAATACACGTCATTTGAATCTTTAAACTTTTTATTGACTGCCGGAAGCATGACAACAAAGATAGTTGCAATATACAGGCCACCTCCATCGAGAAGAAACAACTTGTCGTTTACTAATTTCTATGATGAATTTTCTACATTGCTGGAAGGAGTGTGTGTGGAACGCTGACGAATGATTGTACTTGGTGATTTCAACATCCACTATGGCAATCCATCTGACCAAGAGATGATCAAAATGTCGAAACTCCTCAATTTTCAAAATTGTGTCCAACTTGTAAATGAGACCACACACAAGCGAGGTCACATCCTTGATTGGGTTATAAAAAAGGATGATGTTAACTGTGTGAAATGCGTCAGTGTCACCGATCTGCAGATATCAGACCATTCACTCGTCACGGTGGAGTTAAATGTTGATCGTCCACCAGTACCAAAGATGTCTGTTAGATGTAGGAACGTCAAGAAAATGGAAAGGGAAGCATTTCGTACAGATGTTATGACATCCCCTCTTTTTCTCGATCCGCCCACAGATCCAATTGAACTAGTTGATCTGTACAACGGTACTCTGCTGCAACTCCTGAACAAGCACGCACCAGAGAAGACAAAGTGGGTGACTCAAAGATCATCGACTTGGACCACGACTCCCGAGATTAGCAAGGCAAAAGCTGACAGGAGATTTGCAGAGAGTGCTTGGCGCAAATCAAAATTGGAGGTTCATCGGCAGATATATCGTTCAGCCAGTAACAAGGTAAATCTTGCTATCAAACGAGCAAAACAAAGGTATCTGAATGACAAGATCAAGAACAGCATGCAGGATACAAGAAGCATGTATAAAACGCTCTTCAGTTTAGTGAGCAAGCCTACAGACAATCCTCTCCCAAGTCATGAGGATACAATACACTATGTGACCAGTTCCTCACTTTCTTTACAGACAAGGTCGACAACATCCGGGCTCCGATGATGCAAATTGAGACTGAATAAGGGAACGTCAGGGAGGATCTCACTCCCACAGTATCCTGTAGACTCACAGACTTTGATGATTACACTGACTCTGACATACTCAAAATTATCAGAAAGTCTAAACCAACATCTTGTGCTCTTGACCCAATACCAACTCGAGTTGTCCTCGAATTCATTGACATTCTTCTACCAGTGATAAAGTTAGTCATTAACGGTAGTCTCTGCTCTGGAACTGTTCCTTTCGCCTTCAAATCAGCAATTGTGAAACCTCTGCTAAAGAAATCAACACTGGACTCACATCAGCTGAAAAATTATCGTCCCGTATCCAATCTTTCATACCTATCAAAAGTAGTTGAAAGAGCAGTCAGCCAAAGACTCTCTGAGTATCTCTCAGAGAACAACCTGCATGATCATCACCAATCTGCCTACCGTGCTCACCACTGCACCGAAACAGCTCTCCTCAAGATTCTCAATGCTCTGCGGATGAACATTGACAACAACAGGGTTGCGCTTTTAGCGCTTCTTGATTTAAGTGCCGCTTTCGATACTGTTGATCACTGCAAACTGCTCAATACTCTGAGGATCAAGTTTGGTATTGTTGAGACCGCCTTAATGTGGTTTCAATCCTATCTCATTGATGGATCCTACTCAAAGGCAGTCATGCTCAAGTGTGGAGTTCCGCAGCGCTCTGTGTTAGGACTTCTACTTTTCACTTTGTATGTGAAGGCTCTTGGAACAATCATCGATGACCACAATGTCCTGCATCATCAATATGCTGATGACATACAGCTTCACAACTCATTCTAACCTCATCCTCGGGAAGCTAAGATCATACTCCAGCATATGTCAGATTGCTGTGAGGATGTCAAGACATAGATGTTTAACAACTATTTGAAGCTGAATGATGACAAGAGCGAATGCCTTCTGATCGGAACACCTACACGTCGATCTCAATGCTCAGTGCCCAGTTTTGAATGAGGTTCTTCCCAGATCCCAATATCTGACACTGTTAAGAATCTTGGTGTGATTCTCTGTCCAGAGGTTTCACTCGATCACCATGTCACCAATCTAATCAAAACCTGCTTCTTTCATCTGAGAAATGTTGGGAACATACGCCAATACTTAAGCAAGGACTCTGCTGTCATCCTTGTCCTGTCTCTGGTGATGAGTAGACTGGACTATTGTAATAGTCTCCTGGCCGGTGCTGCAAAATATCAGATCTCCAGACTACAACGTGTCCAAAACATTGCTGCTAGAATTGTGCCAATGACTCCAAAATCTGATCACATATCTCCAGTTTTGCGATCGCTGCACTGGCTCCCAATTGAGCACAGGATAACCTATAAACTATGTTGTCTTGCGTTTAAGTGTCTCTCTGGAATGGCGCCAAACTATCTTTCCAGCCTCCTCGATATCTACCAGCCCACTAAATCTCTCAGATCAGAGAACAAACGATTTCTTGTTGTCCCTCGGGTCCGCACCAAACGATTTGGTCATAGAACATTCTCTTTTTCCGCTGCTACTGCCTGGAATAGCCTACCCATTGAAATTAGACTTTGTCAAGTTCCTTTCGTTCTTATCTCAAGACCTACTTCTACAGACTCGCCTATTCCAAATGATTCCTACCATTGTTCTGTGTTCCTTACTGTGTGCACCTTAAGCATGCATTACGCATGGCAAGGCGCCTCATAAATGGACTATTATTATTGTTATTATTATTGTATCAAAATCAAAGATCCCCCTAATCAATGCATAAGGAAAGGCATGTAAAAGAAAGGAAAACAAAACCAGACAATCGTATTCAAACTAAGAACCAATAACAATTTCACTGACACTATTTGCTTGTAATTTATACAGAGTTTCATGATATGAAACGAGGATAATACAATTCAGCTACCAAACAATGTGGGGCTGTGGGGTGGCCTAGTGGATGAAGCGTTCGCTCGTCACGCCGAAAACCCGGGTTCAATTCCCCGCATGGGTACAATTTGTGAAGCCCATTTCTTGTGTCCCCCGCCGTGATATTACTGGAATATTGCTAAAAGCGGCGTAAAACCATACTCACTCTTTCACTACAAAACAATGTAAAAATTGAAACTTTGATCAGCTGGGGAATTCTCTGCCCTGAAAATGGGAAATAGCAAGTACCACTTAGAGGTTTTGTACGACATCAGCATGGAAACTCAAAGATAATAGCAGTGTTTGCATACCAAACGTTGTTATATATTTATATGGTTAACGTTTCAACAACCAACTGCCTTGGCCCACATGGGCGGAGGGATAGCCTGTGGTTAAGCGTTCCCTCGTCACACCGAAGACCCGTGTTCAATTCCCCACATGGGTACAATGTGAAGCTCATTTCTGGCGTCCCCTCCGTGATATTGCTGGAATATTGCTAAAAGCGGCGTAAAACTACACTCACTCACTTGACCACAGCCTTGTCCTTAATTTGAACAACGTTCTGATGTCTCCCCGCTGAAGGCTGTAACAGGTCTGGATCTATCTCCCATATATCATACGCAAGAGGATAAACGGGCAACAAACTCAAGTATAAAACGTTTGGTCCAGACCAGATTGACCCAGTTCCTGAAATGAATCATTCATGTGTGCTCCATTTGTACTTTATTTTTCATTCATTTTGCAGATAAACATCTTCAAATAGGAACAAATGTCTGTATATTTGGCTTGTCATACTTGTTATTATTACACGTACAACCGTGTTTTTGATAATACACTGAAACCTAAGCTATATATGAAACTACATCGCTGCCTGCTTACATCGCTGCCTGCTTACATCGCTGCTTGCCTGCTTGCCAGTTCGTATACGGACCAGATAGAATTCAATACACGTCACCTGCAGTTTGAAAAATTAATGTGCGTTTTGCATTGGGTCGATTTCTATCGCTGAGCCATCACAATGCAAAGTGTTTCATGATATGTTTCATTATTGGATGTTTAATATTCATCACAAGTGAACGGGCAGCTGGGAAAATCAGATGGTGTGTATGCTCGTAGTACATCGGTATCTACACAAGCTCGTACTGCCATACTATCAGCCTTGTTAGATGATTCCACTGCTTTCACGATTGCTAAGAACAAGAGAAACATCTGGGCTGAGACAATTAAACTGTTTTCCAGCACCATTCAGACCCACAAATATTTCATAATAGTTGTTCTTATAAGCAGACTCTATTAAAAATAACAAATCGTTTCTTAGAGCTTACCATACTGGTATGGCAGGGTTTGCTTATCCTTGTCAAACTGTGTGAGTGGCGTGTGCTATGGGCATGGCAGTATGTGCTTATCCTTGTCGCCCTGCTACTGGCATGACTGGACATGCTTACCATTTCGCAACCACCTTGTAAACAGACTGATTTTCAATATTCAATTCATATAATATTTCACGGCTTTATCGTCCAATGGAATGTTTTGGCTGACAATCGAGACAGGTTATTTTCCTGCGTGTTCGATCCCCTGACACGAGCCGGGAATTCTTAACCATGTGTAACACGATCTCTAATATTCAATGCAGTTGAAGGAAAGCCAAGTTCTATGGATAGTCAACTTCTTTATTGCAATGAGTGCGACGTTTCGGCGTAGGGTCTAGAAGCAACGATGATAACGGTATTAGTACCTACACCGAAACGTCACACTCATTGCCACAAAGAAGTTGACTATCCATAGAACATGGTTTTCCTTCATCTTTACAACTTCTAAAATGCCTCTCAAAGAAGTTCAATGCAGTTGTTCAATTATAACATCAAATTACTTACAATCTCCTCCCCGATGACGTAGACATAGCATCTAGCATTGGGGTCGTCCATAATCGTGAAGTAAACGTGCCTTAGGTAGTCCAACCCGAAGTAGACATCACCGATACCCATAACGCCATCAAAGTCGTCTTCTGTCGCCCGACGGGTGAGATGGCTGGTCATCTTTACGAAGGCTGATCGCTGACAAGGAGACATATGAGAATAACAAGAACAATACCACGACAATACGAACAAGCATGCATAACACTAGGTACTATCGACAATACGAACAAGCATGAATAACACTAGCTACTATCGACAATACGAACAAGCATCGACAATACGAACAAGGAACACTAGCTACTATCGACAATACGAACAAGCATGAATAACACTAGCTACTATCGACAATACGAACAAGCATGCATAACACTAGCTACTATCGACAATACGAACAAGCATGAATAACACTAGCTACTATCGACAATACGAACAAGCATGCATAACACTAGGTACTATCGACAATATATATATATATATTCGGCGGATATACATCCGCATTATCCTCAAGGTACATATCACATGCAGGTAATATTCTGATGTAGGTCACAGGAGTGGTTCATTGAAGAGCATGTGTCGTGTGCATGGCGACCAAGAGCCTCCATCGGATATATGATTAAGCTACGACAAACCCAACAGAAAGTCGCGTCACAACAAAGCAATTGTATATGTCGTCTGGGATCAACAATGCAATGTGGTTTAATTACGATCATCACAACAAAATCAACTTTGTGGAACAGCTACCCAGGTGAGACACCTCTGACGGTATGCTGATCGGGCGGTTAAAGTGAACTCGTGTACTACACGACTCGCTGCAATACTATGGTAGATATTCGGTAATTTCGCACACAATATCACCAAACAAACGTTTGCACTTTAGTAGAATTGGTCTAGAATTAGTCTTCAGCAACCAAAAGGAGACTAACGGGATCGGGTGGTCAGTCTCGCCTACTTGGTTGACACATATCGCCGTATCCCAATTGCGTAGACCGATATTCATGCTGCTGATCACTGGATTGTCTGATCCAGATTCGATTATTTACAGACCGGCGCCATATAGCTGGAATATTGCTGAGTGCGGCGATAAACAACCAACAAACCAACCAATCTCCCAAGGTCATCATAATCCCCACATGAGACGTATAATGAAACATCACAACATCACAACCTTCCATGATTCCATCTGTTTCCCGTAAAACAATCGCACTGGTTCTCTCGACCAGCTCCTACCTGATCAAAACCTGCCATGTCATTTTATTGTCAATATTTTCACCAACACGATCGTGGCCATGTACCCCATTGAAAGACAATTGCTACCGAATTTTAACTCCATATATAAATAAAGAATGCGTGACCTACTGCTCTTGTACCAGTGTACCAGTGCTCTTGTACCAAAGTAATAGTCCACAAGCATGCATGTGCCCTATGCGTCCACTTTACTCACACGCATGCATGTGCCCCAAGCGTCCACTTTACTCACAAGCTTGCATGTGCCCCAAGCGTCCACTTTACTCACAAGCATGCATGTGCCCTAAGCGTCCACTTTACTCACAAGCATGCATGTGCCCTATGCGTCCACTTTACTCACAACTACATCAGCATACTGATGGTTATCCTCAGATCTGCCGAGTCAATTTTGCTCCCCCATTCAATCCGGCGATAACATATATAGCACTATTTTCGTTTTGTTATGAAAACAGTCAGTGACAGTGAATAGTGATTCCATTATGCTGGCTGGCTTGCTGAGTATGGTTTTACGCCGTTTTTAGCAGTATTCCAGCAATATCACGGCGGGGGACACCAGAAATGGGCTTCACTGATTCCATTATGACAACCAGACTTGAATGACTATTATCTCTAGAAATTGTGTATTTCAATGACAGTTTTCTGATAGTGTTTATTTCATAAGAAACGATATAGTATTTCTGCATTTGCGAATGAATGTAAATTAAACGACCTTTAAGTTTTAGTTTAACCATTCAAGCGTTTCATCTTCCCGACAAGCTGATAAAGCTAGTGAGTTAAAATTTAAAGTCACATCGGCAGTATTTCAGCCACATCGTGACTATGTAAATTTGTAAATGTGTACATGAAATAAAAACAAAATGATATACCTACCTGTCTGCAATGTATACTTAAAGCTAGCATATAACAATAAAATATTATTTCTAACTTTAACGGTACAATATAAAAATGGACTATAGATTGCCAACAACTGAAGGTAGATCCCCATACTAGGGCCCATGGGGACATACAGTACATTTGCTTTCTGCGTGGACCCTAGCTGGATGTACATTCCTTCAGCTGTCAGCATCAAGCAGACAAAACTTAACTCACTCGCTGACACATTATATTTAATTCAAAGCATATGTAATAACAGCCGCTTCGTCTTCTGTTGGCGAATGTTACGTCTTTTTCTGCAACTGCTTACCCAGTCACCAGTGAGTCTTCTCATTTGAACCGGTTTCAATCTAACCATCACTTTTCACATCACTGCACTTGAAAAGAATTTATAAATAACGCACTCATCCTAATGGTCGTTTCGTTCACAATGTTGCCTTTTCATGAGCTATGATTCATATCTAGATAGCACACCAACAGGTTGGGCCTGTAACTACTTAACTGATATCAGATGAAATGTGGTTACCTTTTATTGTATGAAATTAGTGAGTGTCAGTTACGTCATCATGTGGTAAGATGTGGCGGGCTGCAGGGAGCGGAACTAACTATCGATCTTCCGCTCACGAGACAGACACTGTGTCCATAGATTCATGTGATGTGTGACCAAGTAGGAAAGAAAGTCGTCGAGCGATATCAAAGGGCTTGATGAGTACATTCCACGTAACAAGCACTGACGATATTAGGTTACACGGTAATATATGCCTCTGTGTGGAATTAGTGCAAGATGTCGAAATATTCTTTCTTCCTTGGCAGCTCTTATACCAGCATATATCTCTGTTGACATAACTGGGTTTATTACAGCAACAGTATATATACGACGAAGAAAGATCAAACCCGACATTGACTAGACTACTGATATCTTTAACATGTTCAATCCTGTATTTTGTGTCAACACTGCTCGATAAACTACATGCATGGAAGGTCGCTGCCTGTGTTGAGAAAACACATTCCAAACAACCCACGCATATGCCATATGAGCTAGCGACCGACTGACAGCACAATTAAAAGTATTGATCCTGTGATAAACTTGAACTATTGTAAACGAGCAGCATGTATGAGTAGTCTATCACGCAAAAACTGCAAACTGCCATACACAGGAAGTGGAAGATACTGAAGTGGCTGGATTCTGCGGACCTGATGACATAACATTGAGTGAGTTTTAAAAACTGTCATCAAAAGGCAGTATAACATATCACAGATTTAATCTAAAACTAATGTGAGACCATATTAAAATACTTATTATTCCACACCACAATATAAAAATACGCTATAGATTGCCAGCAACCAAAGTAAAGCCACCAGGACAGTTGTATGCGCCGTTGTTTTAGGGACGGCTCATCAGCCTCTACTTACAGGCTAATGGGAGAAGCCCGGAAGGCACCGAGGCAAAACCTCAGGCCTTGATGGTGGATTGTGTCCAATAATTTTGAGTTAATTTTACAATCTCCACCATAGACGATTGAGCCATAATCTACTTCAGAGCGGATCAGTAATCTGTATTGTTGTAGGAGGGTTTTCTGATACCTCCCCACTTTGAAATAGGGATAACTTTGAACAACTCAAGAGCCTTCAGGCATTTATTCTTTAAATATTTAATGTGGGGTCGAAATGTTATTTGATAATAAAAAGAATTATACCCAGGAACTTAGCTTCTTTAACAACTTTTATGGGAACGTCGTCCATATGTAATTCCAGGTCTTTATGGTGTTTATTTGTTCTATATTTTCTACATTCTTCTACAAATATATATTTAAACATAGATGACGCTTACGGAAGCGTGAAAATAAATTTGGTCTCACTATCTCCTACGCTCGACATACTTTCTCCTACGTTGGACTTATTAAGTTTCTAATATTACCATTAATCGACATATGATCTCCTTAATATCTGCTACGTAGGTGATGATAAATATACATGTATATTAATATATATTAATCTGCTATGGTTGGCTTAAATCCCCAGTCACGCAAACAATCAGTTCCTGATGCTTTACTTTATATTCGTGTACATACACAACTAATGCTAGGTGAGGTGAAAGGAAAATTGATGAGTCACACGTAATTATTAAGTCTAGCAACCACGTCCGAACTTGAAAATAATTTCTCCATTTTTTAAATATTACATTTTTGTCTTCTTAAAGGCTGGTAATGGTTAAGGTATCTACATTTTGAATCGGGGCACTGAGTGACGCTTAATGTCATAATTACGATCGCTGACATGCGTATGGGATTGTTATCGCCAATTAGAGCAAGTGAGTAATTCAGATTATGAAGCATGGATATTAAGTTGAAAAAATGTTTGTTCATGCATCACGTTAGATGGTAGAAATGGGAGTCGGTGACTATGCATAGCACTAATGCAGTGTTACTATACAGTGTTGTTGTGTATGTGTATTAATATTATTACTAATTGCACTTATGGAAGTTTGGGTGTGGTTATGCTTGTTCTATCATACACAGAGGGAGAGTAGAGTGTGGTGGTAGGGGAGGTTATGATATGAAACTCTGGTTAAAACACGTCCTCAGCAAGTTGTTGCTTGTCTTCAGGTGGGCTAGGTTGACTCGGATTCAACTCTCGTTGTTTGTGGTTTGTTTGTTCGTGATTGTTAACAAATTGGCCTGACTGGGGTGGGAAAGTGTTGAGAGCCGCGTAAAACAATGCGAAATTTCAATAAGGCAAAGAACTGACATTATACTTACTTGTACACCGCTGTAACACAAGGCAATATAGTGACCAATAATCAATGTCACTCGCATTAAAAATGTCGCGCAGACCACAATCATAGGTCACTTGGGGTCTGGTTCTAACACAGAATCCCCATAATGTGAAATGCCACAAACTCAACCAGCTGTAATATTTATTGACAAGAAGATGGTGACGTAGTCTTTTATCTCTGAGGAAGGTCAAGAAAAATATTGTTGACAGACATTTTCTGTGTCAACTTAGCAAAGACACTCTACCGGCTTCTGAATTGTGGCAATAAGCACGCATAGTTTGCCACCGATAGTCAAAGACAGGTCTGAGCGTCAGAGGTCATCACGCAGACTATGACTTATGTGCAACGACCTCTGGGAGAAAATACACTTTAGAAATAGTCATGCAATCACATAATTAGTAGTCAAACACACGCTCTTGTTAGTCAACAGTTAGCCTCGTAGATGATGTGTTATGAACACGTACCAGGAAAAACATTTGATATAAGTCCTTTGTGCCTCAACATAACTGGTTTCCTTCAAACTGAGCACATGCGCCTCCTACAATCTGGATCCATGTATGAACCAACATCTGGATAACCTGGCCCATCGACGTTTGATTCACTTCTATTTAACAACAGTGATTTTACCGGTGTGATATTGTTATAGAAACCAGGCTGAAGATAACTTACGGTTGTGGAGGAGTGGAAGCAGAATCAACGTAGATCCCAGTGTGAACACGTTCTGTCTTGTATCCCGTCTCGAGCTGTCCTCCAGACACCGTCCCGGATCGGCGAACACCGTGCACTTGACTGACTCGCTGTACATCGACTTGAAGCAGGTGTTGTAACGTGGGATGAGATGACTTTAACTGGGGTAAAGAAGACTGCGCTAGTAGCATAAGTGTATTTGCGAAAAATGGTTTGCACAGGCATTACCACAAGCGCACTATTGCACTTGAACATTACAGAACACTTAAAATACGAAGTTGTGTTATTTCTTCATTATTTTAGTCTCAATTTCAGATTCAATCAATTTAATGACAAAATATTGGCTTCTTCGGTGATTGTGTACATGTGCAGACATGGTCTCGTCGCTATATGGCTGAAATAATGTCGATGCGACGGAAACTTTTAACTCACCCAACTCAATCTTCTGTTATTGCTTTTAAATAAAAAAATCGACATCAAATGATAACTGAAGTGCCAGATGGCTCGTCGACGATGCCATGCGTGGTGAGCGAACGCTTTAATAACTAGGCTACGCCACCACCCAGCCAGTAAGAAAGCAAGAGTAATCAGAAGGTGACAAATACCCCCGGCCTCCACAAATTTGAAAGAACAAATCATCTGACAGTTACAAAAAGTCCAACTTCATTTTCATGGAAATCATGAAAACTATAAGTGCCAAACATCTGTAAATAGCAAAAGGCACCACTTTGGGATATGTCTCATATATTTGCCAAGTTTTATTAAAAGATATTAAAAGGTTTTCCAATTGTGCTCTGGTAACGAAGCTCACCCCTCCCTTTTGAGATTAAGCCTAAATTATTTCCATGGAAACCGGGAAAAATATAAATGCCAAAAATCTACAAAGAGCAACAGATACCCCTGGCCTCCACAAATTTGAAAGAACAAATCATCTGACAGTTACAAAAAGTCCAACTTCATTTTCAAGGAAATCATGAAAACTATAAGTGCCAAACATCTGTAAATAGCAAAAGGCACCACTTTCGGATATGTTTCATATATCTGCCAAGTTTTATTAAAAGATATTAAAAGGTTTTCCAATTGTGCTCTGGTAACGAAGCTCACCCCTCCCTTTTGAGATTAAGCCTACATTATTTCCATGGAAACCGGGAAAAATATAAATGCCAAAAATCTACAAAGAGCAACAGGCACCACTTTGGGATCTGCCTGATATATCTGGCACGTTTAGTTTTATTGATAGATATTGAGTGAGTGAGTGAGTTAAGATTTAACGTCACATCGGCAATATCTCAGCCATATCGTGACGAGAACTGATAGATATTGAGCCATTTTTAGTTATGCTCCGGAAACGAAATCCACCCCTGTTTGAAGTCCAAATTGTTTCCATGGAAATCCAGAAAAATACAAATGCCAAATATCTGTCAATAGCAAAAGGCACCACTTTAGGTTCTGTTTGATATATATGTGACAGTCAGTGTGTAAAATCAGGCAATTTACAAATTTGTAAATTGCCTTATTCACTAGTCAAGTTGTAAATTACCTGAAATGTTCATAAAACATAAAACACAACGCAATATTTCAACAATATTTCAAATTATAAAAACACATACATTTTGTTTGCAGAAGTAATGCTTTCTTGGCACCTGCTGTTTCGTTTCACTCCAGCTTTAAAGCACTTGCATTTGTTGGTTTCACACTGCTTGCCACTCTTAGAACAGTTGCATTTGGTGAAACCCTGCCCGCCGCATTTTGATTCACCTTGAACAGCTTGTCGTAGAACAATTTCCTTCTCACGACAGATGTCACCCATGGTGTACAGTTTTTGTGTACAGAGATCGAACTGATTGCGGCTATAACGTCCCATCAGCACACCTGCACGAACTCCATTGCGGTAGAGGTCATCATCACTTCTCTCCATAATAACACTCATGGTGTTGCGAGGATCCCCCTACCGCGATCAACCAAGGGGATTGGTATGGAGACGTTGTCCCCAGGATTCCCTGCAGCGTATTCAAGGCGACTACGTTTTACCATATGCTCTACCTGAGCCAATTGGCCTTCAGCAGAACGCTTGCGGTTTCGCTTAATGATGTCAAACATATCATATGTATGTGTGAAGTAAACAGTTTCTTGAAAACTGGAATTGCGTTTTATTTTCATTTTTTCAATGTCGCCACACTGTAGGATTTCACATCGTACAAGCTTCAGAAGAAGCTGCAGCCCTGAGTTCATCGAGGAACTGAACATATTCATCTTTGGTCATCAGCATTTCTTCTTTTCAGTAACTCTTTGTGGAAAAAAATATTCTTTGTGGAAAGCCATATATGCAAAAGAAATAATAAAATAGAACATTTCAATCATAAATGGGGTCTTCTCTTCCCAGTACTTTGATGAATTTAAAATGTTTCCAATTTACCTGAGGTCATATTTCTCTTTTATTGACTTATATATGTGTATTAACATGATATTTACATAGTACCTGTACATCATCCATCTGTCTGTACATCTACATCTACATCACCTTTCTACATATGACATTGTAATCCTGGGAACCAATAAAAAACAAAAACAACAAAAACAAAAAACCCAACCTCTTTGTGGAAAGCTTCTTCCGTTGTATGTGCCATCTCGGAACTAAGACAAGTGATGGTTTTAAACAGAGATGTCTACTCATACTGGTTTAGATTGGAAACCAGAAAACTCACAATTGAGAGATGTCAGGAGAACACACCAACCTGTTCCAATCACACTGTGTTGTTATTTATAACAATTTAACAAGTGGTAGCAACTGAGACTTTCCTGTTCCTGAACATCAACAAATAGTTACAATGATGCGACTAGGGACAATTTATCCCTCAGAACAGGTGAGGTCTGGGATACCGGGAATGTGGTTTGCGCCTCCTCTTGTGGGAATCGAACTTGTATAGTGACCGATAGTTGTAATCACGCTCCTACTCCACCTCCTGCTGCTGTTAAGTGTGTATATTATCCAGACGCTGCCATATTACTTACCTCGAAAACACATTGTTATACTCCACACCGAATACAAACGGCGTTTTACAACGGAGAAATGTATGACCGCTCTCCTCGCCATTATTATAGAACAGGTCACGTCACTTCACGAAATGAAAACAACAGTAGGTTATACCGACGGATCATTTATGACGATGCCCTACTGTCCATCGTCGGTTTACACATGAGTATCTGCTTACAACGACGGGGACAGACCTCCAAAATGTATCCCTTGTGGTGAAAGGTTCACCATGAAGCATATGCCGCTTGACTGTTAATTCGCAAATAGAGTGTTTAAAATACTGGTTTAATATCATCCGTATGCCAGAACATCGGCTTCCGAAAACAGCTTATAACATGCTCTTTCATCTAGATAGTATCGGTAAGGTTACATTGGTATCGCATATCAGGACACTATTATTCTCACATCTAATCAATCTGTTGGCGATCTATATTAATTTCTAAACGATTTTCGTAAAGTAGCAGTAAATATGTTCTATAAAGGATGGCAATTCAACTTAGAAAACGGTTCACGTTATGATTTGTACAAAACGTTTAAAGGTCACATGCAACCAAAAAATCAAACATAATTAAAACACAATTATCACTTCTTCATGACATATAATATGCATTGCTGATTATGAAAAATCAAATAAACAAAATTATAAGCGTATAATCGCAAATCAAACGTGCAATATTTTGTACTTGGGTTTACCTCCCTCGAAACGAAGCAGCCGGGATACCGAACCCAGTCGGAGCGGGAGGGTGTGCACTCAAGTGTAACGGCTGGTTTATTAGCAGATGCCGCCTTCACGGGTCATTGTGTGTGTATATATAGAAAGTTGGGTTTTGTAAATACATGCTCATTTTTTGTGTATAACATTTTGCAATCAACAGACATCATAACATGTCATGTGTTCAAGTATCACACTGCCTGTCTGTGTAATTACATAATGTGACAGAGACCGAACTCGGGCCATAAATAAATGCGTTTTGTTTATGGTGTATAGCCTGATTGGTGTTAAGTTCAAATTGCATGTGGTCAGTGATCGCAGTTGTGTATTGAATATTGTCATTAGCAGACAGGCAGGCAGACACACAGGTGTCAATAAAACAAGACATTGAGTTTTGTCTGTGACAACGACATATCTATATCACAGTTAGAAATTGTGTCAACGCTAAATAATGACATTGCTTTTAAGTATCGAACTGAGAAAGTGACTCGGTAAGAAGAACGTGTGGTGAAATAGACAAATGAAATTATATAAACAGTTTATTTACTGTCATAACATATAAAAAAGCTCGCGCCTGTGAGATATCAACAAAACATTAGGAAAATAGCTCACACCAAAGCCTTCACCGAGTATTCACCAGACAGCCCGCTTCCAAGTTGCGCGAACCTATTTCACTGCGCACGTGCTATGAGCGCAGCCCAGCTGTTGAAACCCGTATTCCCCAGAAAAGTCTGGGGAAAATTAGTGAAACGTTTGAACTCCGATTTCGCGCGTTTTTTTTCATCGCGTTATTTTTCAACTTTATAAGTTGAATTTGCATTTTTTGACGCTTTGTTTCGGTAACTCCATACCGAAAGGTATCAGAATCTGCAAAGTTGTGTTTTACGTTGCATGTGACCTTTAAGACTAATTTATTAGGGCCAGAAATTGGAAAGTTTAATATAAATTGTATATTTATATACTTATCCTATCTCACGACTTGCACTTCTCTCTCTTGCTTCGACTTTTTAGATTCCTTGTCCATTCGCCCGTGCACTCCATGCTGCTCTCCTTAATTAGCTGCCTTGTTCCTAATAAAGCTTGCAGCATGCTGCACTAATTGCTCATGTGACTACCTTGAATGATCATTCTCATCTTGGAGCCAACGTTGTAATCTGAGTAGTGGGGAGGCCGGGCGGGCATCCATCGCGTGAGATAATATAAGTATATAAATATACAATTTATATTAAAATTCCAAATTTTTAAACTTATCCTATCTCACGACTTGCACTTGTCCCACGGTTGGACGGCGGGCCGCAGATTATTTGTAAATTGTTATGACGTGCCGTGTACCT